GCAGGGCCAGGCGCGCGGGCGTCAGGAAGTGGCCCAGGCTGAGGCCGTGGGAGATGAGCAGGCGCACGAACTCGGGCCGGTCGTTCAGCAGGGCGTCCATGAGCGAGGCCTCCAAGTGGAAGGACTGCGGGGAGGAAGGGGATGAGATGAGCGGGCACGGAGGCCGGGGAGGCTCCGAGGTTAGGGACGGAGATGGGCCGCCTGGAGGGACCGATGGATGGATGGATGCAGACAGAGGGAACAAGCTGGGGACAGATGAACAATGGAGATGGATGGAAATCCGGGGAAGGCTGGACAGCTGGCCAAAGGCAGCGAGGGAGGGGAACTACCGAAACCCCAGGCCCTGGCCCCTCACCCGCCACTGGATGTCCCCCCGGAAGAGTTCACTCTGGGCGATGTCCACGCGGTTCCAAGCCACAGCCAAACGCAGCTCGTCCAGGTAGTCTGAGGCCTCAGAGCTCCTACATGCTGCAAGTTGAGAGGGAGCAGAGACAGGAAGTCAGAGGAGGGTGGGGACATGTGGGTGGAGCTATATCCTCAGCCCCTTTACTTTGAGACAAGGTCTCCTGCAGTCGATAAGTTGCTCAGGATGAGCTCGAACTTGGGATCCTCCTGCCTCAGCTTCCCCAAATGCTGGGATTACAGGCCTGCACAACCGTGGCCAGCTGGAACATGAGGCCAGTGTGCTGGGGGCCAGCTCAGACCACTTGATCAGAACCGCAAAGCCACCAAAGAGCATCACTTGCTCATGTCACGTCTCTCCGTGCAAGGAAGCACAGGGTATGATAAACCTGTGGAAAATCAGACACCTGGCCAGGCGTGGTGTTGCATGCCTGTGATCCTAGCATTGAGGAGGCTGAGGCAGGAGGATCACTGGGAGTTCGAGGCCAACACCGCCTTCTCCCTGAAGTTTCTCCCTACTGACGGTGACTCTTCCCTAAGCTTTTATCTTAAATTTTATGTAACGATGTGTTCAGGGCTGGGGATGTATCTCAGTGCCAGAGCACATCCCTGGCACACGTGAGGCTGTGGGTTCCGCCCCCAGCACAGAGAGAGAGATGGGGGCACCAAATGACTCTAGCAAGATCTGGCTCCTCAAGACCAGGAAATGGCTCTGTTTGTTGAATGAATAAGCGAGCCCCATTTTCAGCCTCTGCCAGGCATCCGTGATCTCCCTGCCTTGGTTTCCATATTCAGGCACCTAAGATGCTGTCTCTGGTGAAATATCTGAGTTCTTCCTGACAATGCCTTGGTTCCCAGCCAGAGGAAGTGTGTAGCACATAATGGAGGTGTGTGGGAAAGGACAAAGAGGTGGGTAAGACGGCTAGGTGGACGGACGGACGGGTAGAAGAGTGAGTGGATAGAATTAACGGATCTGTGGATGCGTGGGTAAAGGGACGGATGGGTGGACAGATGGAAAAGCGGAGGATGAATAGATGAAAAGATCGATGTACTTATGGGTGGGCCGACATTGCAGAGAGGAAGAACTGGAAGACAAAAGGCACCCTCAGGTGGGTGCAGCCAGGAAAGGGCCAAGGCCGAGCCGGAAGAGCGCACGTGGGAACCCCAGGGTCACCTTTCACGAGGGCCTTCAACACGATGGTCTCGAACTCCTCAGAGCCGTCTTCCGACGCATAGACGGTCAGCAGCTCCTTCCGGGTCATGATCCTCTCCACCTGCAGGCACAGAGCCCTGCACACCCAGCCCAGCTCCTTTGGGGCCCACTGCCCCCCAGGACCCGGCCCCCCACCCCAGGATCAGAGGAGGCGCCAAAGTCATACCTGGGCCTGAAGGACCTCAGGGTCTCCTTTGGGAAAGAAACGCCTGATCCGGTCTCGGGCCTCCCCTCGCCTGGCGCCCCCACTCCCTGGGGCCAGAGAGTCTTCCAGGGTCTCAGCCAAGCAGTCAGCGGCACCCCCAGAGCCGGCCACTAGGAGGCAGGGGAGCTGGGCCTGCGTGGCGTCCTCTATCCGCTAAGGAGGCAGGGGACAGCAGGTTGGGGGAGACAGGACATTCACCTTCCTGTCCCTCCTGCACTCGGGAAGACGCAGAGCTCAGGAGACCTGGCTCCCCCACCTCCCCCTATACCTTCAGCATCTTCTCATCACCATCGATCAGGAGGAGCAGGACGGGGATGTCAATTCCGGTCCCTGAAGGCAGAGCACCAGGAACATGGTTACCACCATCAGCCTTTGCTGCCTATGGGAGACCACACTTTCCAGGAATCCCCGGGGCAAGAGGTTGGCATCTTCCCAACCCTCCTGTGTTTTGAGAATCGTGGGACCTGGGCGTGTGTGTGTGTGTGTGTGTGTTACTAAGACTTGAAAGGGACCTGGGCGTGTGTGTGTGTGTGTGTGTGTTACTAAGACTTGAACCCAGGGCTTCTGCACTGAGCTACATATCTATTTTTTTAAAAATAAAAATTACCTAGGGCCAGGGGTTTGGCTCAGTGGTTCTGCCACCTGCCTTGCAAGTGCAAGGGCCTGAGTTTGATCCCTAGTACAAAAAAAAATTTCCTAGTAGATAAGTTGCCGAGGCTGGATTCAAAATTGCCATCCTCCTGTCTCAGGCTCCCAGAGTGTGTGGATCACAGGCAGGCACCACCACACCTGTTTTGTTTTGTTTTTTGTTTTTGAGACAGGGTCTTGCTCTGTAGTACAGTCTGCCCTTGAACTCACTGTGTAGTCCAGGCTGGCTTCTAACGCACTGCAATCCTCCTGCCTCAGCCTCCTGTGTGCTGAGATTAGAGGTGTGTGCCACCATGCCTGGCCCCAGCTGGGAACTGTCATTTCTATGTGCTGTTTGGGAGAAGGCCATTCTGCTGACCTCCCAGCAGAGAGGAGAGCTTGGAACCAGACCCAGCCCCTGAGCGATCCAGGCATTTCTTAACAGGAGTCTGCCTTAGCACGGATTAAACAATCAGAAGCCAGAGGAGGTAAAGTTCACATAGGAAAAGAAGGAAACAGGAAGGGAAGAACTATCCAAGTGTAATAAAGTTCTTTACCAAGGTCCAACAGCAAAATCCTGTAAGGTGGTTTTATACTAACTCTGGCTCCACTAAAATAAGACACTGGAGGCGTGGATGTAGCTCAGCGGCACCTTGCCTGTCTGGCAAGCAGGGTCCTGAGTTCAATCCTCAGTACCAAAAATAAAATAAAATAAAACACTGACTGGGTTAGCACCATTGATGCTCCATTTACCCTCGAGCTGTGACCTGATGTCGTAATATAAGAAAATAGAATAGCTGGAATTAAAACCAGTATTTTTTTTTAACTGGATGAAGCAAAGTATCTATTTGAAGAAAACATGGAATTATATTCTTAGAAAATTAGAAGATTTGACCAAGAAATAAAATTTTAAAATACTTATGAGAATTTGATAAAAGGATTGATATAAGAAAAACACAAACATCAAAAACTTTTGTCCAGACTAATAATAATCTATATCTTGCTGGGTGTAGTGGCAAGTGCCTGGAATCTTAGTACTCAGCAAGCTGAGGCAGGAGGATCACCACAAGTTTGAGGCCAGCCTGGGCTACATAGAGAGGCCCAGTCTCAAAAAATATAATCATATAGTCAACCTGTATCTTACTCATGTTTTAACAAAAACTAAAAGATATCAGAATTTTTTCATCCAGAAAGATACAAAATTGTTATGAGGAAATTTACAAATCTTATTCAAGCTGGAGGCCTGAATAAATGGAGAAACTATCATTGATTCACCCATCTCTAAATTAACATAAAAAGTGAATATGATTTGGAGAAAAAGGAGGGGCTAAAGGATGTGTGAAACGTGTACCCATTTTTATCTTTTTTTTAGTTTTTTACTTTTTTTTTGGTACCAGGGATTGAACTTGGGTCCTTGTGCTTGCAAGGCAGGCCACCGAACCGCTGAGCTAAATCCCCAGCCCTTGTGTGCCCATTTTTAAATGGAACAGATAATTTTAACAACCATAAATGTCAGAGAAGCACCAGGAAATTTTTGAGACAGAACGGTGAGAAGGAATGTTCCCTCACACATCTTTAAACTGCTCTAATCAAAACATCGTTCTGGCACAAGAATAGATAAATATAGATGTGGGAAAGAAAAAGGTTCCAAAACAGATCTCAACATAGAAAAGAATTGCATATTTAACTGTGGCTAAAGGATGATTTTAGTTATTAAACAGTCATGAAGAAAATATGATTCCCCAAGGAAAGAAAGAAATGTGCATTCCTTATTTCAAATATATAAAAATCATTTCCAGATGCATTAAAGGTTTAAATATTAAACTGTGAGATATTTTTTAAAAGACTCAGGACATTTGTCTTGGAGAGGGCTGGCTCTAAGACAATACACCCTGGCTACGAAGGAGACAACGGATATCTAACCACACAGAAAAGGACAGAAGTTTTATGTCCATAGACACCAATATTTAAAAAAATTGGGGGGCTGGGATTTAGTTCATTGGTGCTGCCACCCGCCTCATCAGTGCAAGGTCCCGAGTTCCATCCTTGATACTGAAAGGGTCTTGCTGTGTAGCGTAGGCTGGCCGTGGATTCATGGTGATCCTCCTGCCTCAGCCTCCCAAGTGCTGGGACAAAAGGTGTGTGACACCATGTTGGTGGCTAAGGAATATCATCAATGTGTGAGTGTGTGTGTGCACACGCGTGTGTGTTACTGGAGGTGGAGTCCAGGCCCTCACACATGCAAGGCAAGGGCTCTAACACTGAGCCACATCCAAGCCCCTCTTCAACGATTGAAAGCGGCAGTGAGATAGAAAATTTGGACCTGAAGGTGCTTATGAAGACAGCAGCTCATGTATACACAAGGCCCCAAAACCAGAAACACCACTGAGATGGGAATGTGATTCCACAGAATTCTATAACACAGAGAAATGTGTAAAAGGGTACACTCCAAACAGCTGAACACTGATTACCCCAACTGGTGGGAAGTTGGAGCCAGCAAAGAAAATAATTAACTCTTTTATACATCTTTTTATGATTTGATTATTTCCTGTAAGCACACACTAAAGCCGGCCTCAGAAGGTTATAAAGCAAGGTACAGGTCAAGACCTTCATTCCAAACTCCGAGATCTACAATGCTCTCAAATTAGAAATACAGGAGTGCTGACATAATGCTCACACACTTGTGATTTTAGAGCATTTCGGGTCTAAGTAGAGATGCTAAAAAGCATACTAGGCCTAAAATCCATAAATCTCCGAAACTGGAACCATTTCTCATCCAAACATTTCAGACAAAGGCTTCTCAACCTGTATTGCTCTTATGATATGACCTTCTCACTAGACAAAACAATAGTGGTAGAAGCCAGGCATGGAGACGCACACCTGTGATCCCAGCCCTGCAGAGGGCTGACAATCCCAGGAAGTTTAAGGCCAGTTTAGGGTACATAAAAAGCACCTCTAGAAACGGAGAACAGGTTGTGGTTGCCAGGGCATAGAAATACAAAGCCAGTCCTATGCAGTAACAGAACTGGCCTGCATCCTCCTTTGGTTCCTGATACACCAATCTATATGTGTACGAAACATAGACATTCCACCCCCAAAACCCCTCTTAATACTGTGTAGTGGTTTTAAAATTAAAATTGAAGCTGAGCAGAGCTAAACAAGTTTTAAAATTCATTTAGCTTTGACGGAGTGAGATGGTGCAAACCTGTAAACCCAGCTTAGGAGAGGCTGAGGCAGGATGATTCCAAGTTCTAGCCCAGCCTGGAGCAATTTAGCAAAATTCAGTTCAGACCGCTGGAACGTAACCCAGAGCTAAAGCCCTGGCCTCATTGCCCTGTGCCACACAGAATAGCCCACTACTTTTGTTAACACAAAAATGTTTACAAAGAAGCTGCTTTTAGTTTTGTTGATTTTTCTCTGGATGCATTTGTTTCTATTTTATTGATTTCCATCCTTCTGTTTACCTTTCCCTTGCTTCCTCGGATTTGATGAACTTTTCTATCTCTTAGGATTTTTTGTCGTTGTTGTTGTTAAGTTTGGAAGGTTAAGTCACTGGTTCTGTTGACTTTCCCTTTCGGTTATATGCATTTAAATCGACACACTTCCCTTCACGCGTCACCCCCTGACTGTCACACACTCCTCATCATTAGGTTCCAAACATTTCCTAATTTCTGTTTCTTCTTTGGCCCCGGGGGCTACTTACAAACTCAGCTCATGCACGAAGCTCATGGAATCCACACTAAATAGAAGAAGCCCAGCCCCAAAGTATGCTGATTCCCAGGCCGGGTACCAAGAATGAAGGGGTGGGGTGGGGAGGTAAAACCCATCGCCTTCGGCGCGCACAGACACGACCCAGATTCTGGCCGCTGGGCTCCTGGGCACTGCGCCCCGGGTCTCGGGTCCCCCAGCCGCTCACCGCCCACGCCTGTCTTCTGCTGCGCCACGTAGGACTCGAAGCGCAGGCGGAATCGGTCCTCGCCGCCCACGCGGCCGTGCGTGCCGTCGTCCACCAGGAAGAAGGCCGAGTAGTTGTAATCCAGGGGGAACTCGATCCCGTCCTCCCGGTCACCGCGCCACCATGGGTACTTCGCGGGGAACGAGCCCTGGGGACAGACAGAGAAAAAGCTCCTCCTCCTCCCGCGGACAGGGGTCCAGGCCCAGCCTCCCCCCTGGACCCCCGAGCCCTGCTCCCCGACCTTGGTTCACCTTGGCGTTGGTGAGAGCGTCTCTGTTCCGGACCACGCCCCAGGGCGCCACACCCATGGCCACCACCTTGCTGCCCCCGGTGCTGGCCGTCTGGTGGTCTCGCACCGCCACCCCCACGTGCCTGCCGATGCCAGTGTGCAGCCCCCCGGTGACAATCCAGGCCCCTGCACAGAGGCACAGGTGTGAGACAGAGGGGAAAATTCCGAGTAAGAAAAGGCCACATGACGAGTGCAGGCAGCATGGGAGGCGGCAGTGGGGCCCTCGGTCACCTGTGCTCTGAGCAGCCCGTACCAGCCCACGTCGTAGCAGGTCCTGCAGCCAGGTCTGGAGGACGGGGCCCCCCGAACCCCCCAGGACCGACACCACCAGGTTTGGGGCTCGAAAGCCCCATGTGCGGGTGACCAGACTATAAATGGTCGCTGGGTCCGTGCGGTCAGACAGCCGGAGGAACTGTGGACACACGGGGAGGGGACACGGGGAAGGGATGGAGACCAGAGACGTGGGGGACAGACCGGAGACAGAGGGGACAGGACAGGCCCAGAGGGAGAGACGGGTCCACATGGGGAGACAGCGCCCAGCCTTGGCCCCGGTGGCCTGGGTTCCCCGCCCGCCCCGGCCCTGCCCACACTTGCAGCCTCACATTGCTGGGCCTGCGGCCGGCACCCAGGAATTCCAGGTCCCCGTAGGCATCGGTGGGCTTCTCCGTGGTGTGCACATCACTGTCCCACACGGTCACCACAGCTGCCCCAAAGGCGTCCTCCACAGCCACCGAGGGGTGGGCACTCCGGGGGCGCCCACACTGGCACAAGGTCCCTCTGGGGTGCAAAGGTGGAACATGAACCCCAGCATCCCGTAGGAGCATCTGTGTGGCCCTCTGTCCCCAGCGGGAGTCAGAGCCCGAGCTGACCTGGACACTGACTGTTGCCTGGGGAGACCGAGGCAGACACAGGTACAGCCCTCCTTTCCCACCAGAAGGAAGCCACAAGTAAGTGGAGGGGTGCACACGGCTCCACCCCATGGTGTCCTGCAGGGTCCTTGCTGTCCCCAGCCCAAAGAGGTGAGGATTACAAGAAGGTAAATTCAAAAGAGAAAGAAAGAAGAAAATTTTTTGGGAAAAAAAAATCCATCAGGGAATAGTGGAGTGGTGCACGCCTGTGATCCCAGCACTTGGGAGGCTGAGGCAGGAGGATCTCCACAAGCTTGAGGCCACCCTGGGCTACATAGTAAGTTCCAGACCAGTCTCAACTACATATCGGAGACCCTGTCTCAAAACATAAATAAGCAACACAGGAGAAAGAATGATCCGGAGAATAATTCACAGAGAGCTCATGTTCTAGAAGCTGAGGCAGCTCTGTGATTTTGAGCAAGTGGTGTCACCTCTCTGATTCTAAATTTCCTCCTCCAGGGAAAAGATGATAATAGCCAAGCTTACTCCAGAGAACTCTGAGGAGCCACAAAAATAATGCCGTTTCCTGAACTGAGGAGTGTGTGCCGGTCCCAGTTGGAGACAGGCTGTGTGAACTTCACACAGAGCTTTAAATAACCTTGAATAACACAGTGAGAAAGTCATTTCTCTTTCAGTTCTGCCTGCAGTCATCGAGTGGGCTCAGCTGGGTGTCTGAGTGTCTTTCATGCCTAACCCTTTGCTATATTTTTTCTTTTTCAGCAGAAAAAAACAAGCCTTAAACCCAGAAAAATTGGGCTGCCAAAGCACCCAGCTGGAAGATAAATACCTTTATTTGCTCTTCATTGTATTTGGCTCTTTGGCTTTTTTCTTGCCTTTGTGACACATGGAACAGGATTCCCATTTTTGGTCGCTGTATATAAAATTTTGTTTCCTAGATAAATACACAACTCTCCCTGGCTGCTGTGATTGGCACCAGAGTTTCAAAGAGCAAAGAGCAGGCATTTGGGGATGAGGAGCTCAGTTGAAAATATGTCTAAATCTCCTTGGTCCCTGATTCCAGAAATCAGGTAGCAAAGGTGACCTGGATTGATATGAACAGGGTGATAATACCGTGGCACAAAGGTTTGGCCAAAGCTGTGAAATGATGACACTCTGGGAAGCTGAGGCAGGAGGATCACTGTGAATTTGAGGCCAGCCTGGGCTACATAGTGAGTTCCAGGCCAGCCTGGACTACATGGAGAGACCTGTCTCAAAAAGACAAAAAGCGATCAAAGCAGAAATTTAATTCCTCACAAGTGCTGCCTGTGGCTTCCATATTGGATCTGGACAGAACTCAGCTGCCACAGTGGACCTGCTAGGTAGCAGATTTTCCTTTTGTGCGCCTCACCCCCACCCTCTCCTTTCAGTGCGATGCCGCAACACAACGGCTTCTATTCAGGTTTCACCTGTCTGCAACATAGGCTTGCCTGGCCAGAGCTGAAAGGTTCTAATTCCCCAAAGTCCTTGTCACCCACCCCTGACCTCTCCCCTCCCAGCTGCTCTGTCCCGGCCCCCTGTGTGGCTTTCTCTTCCTTGTCACCTCCCTGAGTATAGGTGTCCCTAGAGTGAGGGCCACACCAGCCTTCCTTCCTGAGTCCTGAGCTTGATGCACCAGGGCCCAGGCAAAGCAGTTATGGGAAAGAAGTACGGGGAGAAAAGAAGTCACACTTTTCAGAGGCCACAGGGCTCTCGCCCGTGTGTTAGAGACAGATTTTGTCTTTGGTGCTGGGGGTGGACCACAGGGTCTCATGCATGCTGACTAAGCTCTCTGCCACTGAGCTACACCCCCAGCCCAGAGACACACTTTTAAACTCTTTCGTGCAGAATATAAAGTAAAAACAATGGCCAGGGATTTAGCTCAGTGGTGCCACGCCTGCCTCACAAGCACATTTTGCTGAGTTCAATCCCCAGTACTGCAAAAAAATGTCCAGGCACAGTGACACACACCTGTAATCCCAGTACTCTGGGAGGCTGAGGCAGGAGGATCGAGTGTTCAAGTCTCGCTTGGGCAGCTTAGTGATTTAGCAAGACTTTTTCTCAAAATAAAAAAATGAAAGGGTAGAGAGTGGCTGGGAGGAAGAGTTCGGTGGGAAAAAGCTGAGTTCAATCCTCAGCAGCAAGAAAAGAGAGAGAGAGAAAGAAAACAAATGACAGGAAAGCAGCGGGCCCAGCATCGCGAGTTGCCAGCTCCCCGACTTGGGATTTTACCCAGCGACGTCTCACTACTCCATGGACAACTGGGACTCCTCAGACTGCTGGATGCCGGCTTCCCGAGCCCCAGCCCAGCCCCACACCTCCAGGCACCCCCGGCCCCTCATGCACACAGTCCCGTGGTCACTCGGCAATGTTTCCCAAGCCTGCCCATCCCTCTCATCCCATTCTGAGGGTGACCTCATGAATCGGGCCACCAGCCTGCATGTGCAGGGACCGCCCTTCCCACATCTATGGGTCCCCAGGATCCACCCTGTGTGCTTGAGTCTCCTCTAGGTCCCTTTCTGCTGGTCCTGAAGTGCTCACCTGGCTCAGGCCTCTTCCTCTTCCTCTCCCTCTCTCTTAGACTCTGGACCACCTCCTTCCTGGAACTTCAAGCTCCTATTCATCCTGCTATGGCCCTCTCCTCATAGCCCACCCCAGCTCTGGAGAACAAGATCCCAGCCACTCAGAGTGGCCTGTGAGGTCTCATGTCACCTTCCCCTGCAGCCTCCTCCCTCATGACAACACTCCTTGCTCCTTGAGCATTGCTGTTTTCAAGCCACACCACATCGTCACCAGGGGTGACTCTGCACGTGTTGTCCCTACTCCCAGACTGACTTTCCATGGGCCTCTGTCCTGCCAGTCTTCACCTGTCAGATCCAACTTTTCCTTCACACGGCACCTGACCGTCCCCTCCTCCTCCAGAAACCACTAGTGACACCTGTATCTTCTGCCAGCCTTAGCTACACGTATCACGGCCCAGGGGCATGACCTGGCAGCTGCTAGGTCCTGACCTTCACTACCACCCTCTTTATCGTCTACCTGCTGGCAACGTAGGATTCCTCAGCTTCGTGACACTTCCTGTTGGCAAGACATCTCTGAGCACCACACCCCATGAGTGTGTGCATGTTTATACATAATCGTGCTACACTGCACCAAGGTAATCATTTCCTATCGAACTGGCACACAGTGGCACACACTTTTAATCCCAGCACTACGAGAGGCTGAGGCAGGAGGATCACACGTTCAAGCCCAGACCAGGCAACTTAGCTACTTGGCGAGACTCTGTCTCAAAATTTAAAAAAAATAATAATAATAATTATATTTTTTAAATTATAGGGCCAGTAATTTAACTCAGTGGTTTCACCACTGCCTGCCTTGCAAGCTCAAGTTCCCGAGTTCAATCCCTGGTACCAAAAGAAAAAAATGTTTTGAAGTCCTGCAGATATAATTGTTACAAAGGCCCTGGGTTCAATCCCCAACTCCCCAACAGCCCACTCTAACCCTAATACCTTCCTGACAAAACACACCAGAAACTGGGAAAGTGGAAGTCCCACGTACCCCACGTCTTGAGAACAACTAGAAAGCCC